TTTTTTTTTCCTGGGGGCTTCCCTCTTTACCCCCACCATCTGGTCCCATCCTATCCTATGTGTGTGGTTGTATGGGTGTGCTTGTGTGTGTGTGAAGTGTCCTTGATTAAGTGTATTAATAGTTAAACTCTCACTCATAGCTGGAACTCACCAGACCACAAAAAGCCTCCCCAGTTACTCACGCGCTACTGCTCAACAAGAATATCCCACTCAAGTTTTTTTTTTTTGCTTTCTCTTACTTCCCCCTTTATTCCCCCCAACTCTGAGCCCACCTCCCAGGCTGCGGGCAATGAGAAAGGACTGCCCCCTCAAAGACCCAGGAATCTCCAACCATTCCACCTGCCCCCTAAAGCCAAAGACAGTGTCAGCTGCTAGATGAGGCTACCTGGGTCTAGTCTGTTGGTATGGGATGTGGGAATCTGGGTGGTGTGTGTGTGCTAATGACACAAGACATGTATCTGTAACTCTGTCGGATGTGTGTCTGTCTTGGGGTGTGGGAGTCTGAGCATGTGTATGCTTGTGAATCAGAACATGTGTGTCTATGGATCTAGGAGTTGTGTGTGTCTGCACAGCATATGTCCATGTGTGTTTGTGAACCTGAAAGTATATATCTGAAAATTGAATATGTCCCTGTGACTCTAGGAATGTGTATATTCTGAGTTGTGTGTGCTTAGAATTTTGGAGAATGTATATTCATAATGTGTGTATATTTGTGTGTTTTGTATACACTTGTAAATCTGGAAGTGTCTTACTCCCTGAGTGTTGTATCTGAATTGGGAAAGTGTGTGTGACTCTGGGAGGGGGCATTATCTGAGCTGTGTGGGCAGTGGTCTGTGTCTGTCTTTGGTGTCTAGTGTCTGTGTTCCTTTCTCTTTCTGTATCTCTGTCTGCCAGTTTGTCTTTCTGAGTCTCTCTCTCCCTTGTTGAGGCTCTGTGTGTGTGTGTGTGTGTGTGTGTGTGTTTGAACCTCTCCCACCCGGTCCTTCCCCTCCCCTGCCCTCCCTGGCAGTAACTGGGCAGCCTCCCCGTCTGCCTGCCTGCTGGGAGTTTTGGAAGCCGTGGAAGGAGACAGGCTGGGGCCGGGGTGACAGCGCGTATCCACGGCGATGGCAGCCTGTGATTACGGGAATAAAAGGATTTTAAGGTCATGAGTGTATTTTTTTGTTTTGTTTTGTGTTTTCCCCTCTGGTGCAGCCACTGGCACACAGGGCCAGAGCTGTGTGTCTGCAGGTTGGGAATCTGTCCCCACAGAAGTGAACATGGATCTGTGGGGCTTTCCTGGGAGCATGAACACGTGTGTGCATGCATGAGCAGAGCCTGTGAGAGCGTGTGTTCCTGTCTGCCTGCTTCCCATGGGAGAGTCCACAGGGCTGTTCCCTGGGGGAGAACTCTCAGGAAAACTTCTTGCTTCTGGATGTTACATGGAGCTGGAATCCTGCAGTCCTGTGTGTGCAGTGTGTGCTGAAGAGCAGTCTGGCCCCAATCCTTGTCTACCTGTTGTCCCCCACCCCCACACCAGTAGGGTGTCTATGGACAGAGATGTGTAGACCCCATCACCTGGGCCAGGCCACATCTCGGGGTGTCAGTGCCCCTGGCCCTGCTCCAGCCCCTGTAATTGCATTCTGCCGCCTAATCCCCCGCCAGCTCAATTAGATCGCAAATTCTTCTTCATTTCCTGCCTCTGATGCTGGCCTCCCTCTGGGCTCACAGGGCCTGGGAGGGAGGGAGGGGATCTTGCCCCCCTTCCTCCAGGACTGGGGGCTCTGAGGGTGGAAGGTGATTAGTTCCTGGCACACTGGCCCTGGGTTGCCAGGGGCCAAAAGGACAGGGCTCTGCTGACCCTTTTTGGACCAGCCTCAATGTCCTCATGCTAGAAGAGGCTTGTGTTATCTGGTGCATGGTCTCTTGATAGACTAGGCAGATCACTCTGGCCAGGCCCCTAGGCAGTGCCCTCACTCTGGGCCCCGACAGGCTCTGCCCATCTCCTGTTCCTAGAGAAGTTGCTGGTCACCCCCTGGCAATCTTTTCCTACTCTGTTCCAGGAACCAATAGGATCGCTGAGTTCCCCTCTGCTGGGTCCTCCTAACCCCCTCCCTTGACCTCACCCAGACGAATATATTTGACCAGTGAAAAGGAAGAAAAGAACACGTGGTTTATATTTAGCATTTCTGTCTCCATTCCACTAATTACCAGGTGTGTGATCTTGGGTACATCACTTTGCCTCTCTGGGTTTCTCTTCCCCATCTGTAAAATGGGACCACTAATGGGCCTGACCTCACGTGGCTGTCTGCATGCAGATGCTTGGCCCTGGCCGCCAACCTGCAGGTATTACTTGCCCTTTTATTTTTTCCCTCACACCAAGCCTGATGGGACTGGATGGGGCTGGTG